CCCCCACCTGCTTCCGCACACAAGGCCTGTCAGGAAGCATGGCCCCTGGGTGGCGGCTTGGAGGGGGACGCACCGAAGTCAATGTCTAGGAGGGCTGCATTGGCGCCTTCTACCAGGATCCTCTTGGGGGGGCCGTGGAGYGCCTCGTACATGAAGTACACACCGTCACGCACCATGGGTCTGATCCGCTCAGCAAAGCCCTGCGGGTGCGGAGGGTGAGGCCAGGCTCCCAGGCAGCAATGGCATGGGACGCGGCCTCCCACCAGGCGCCTTGCCCAGGCCCCAGAGTCACCTTGAGCCTCTTGAGCTGCCCTTCCACGTCTACTTCCAAGGTGGGGAACATGGACTGGTGCTGCTGGGCCAGGTTCTTGAATCTGCAGGAGTGACCTCGCTGTGACCCCTGACGGTCCACACGGGGAGCCGCACCCCTGCCTGGATCCATGTGCCCCCCAACCTCCCTGCCGGCCCAGGGCGTGGACGTGCAGGCACCTGGTGGAGAACTCCTCAAAGTCCGACAGGAGGTCACAGATGCGGAGGCCCGTCCGGGCTGCTTTGGAGGAGTAGGTTGGTCCGATTCCCTTCTTGGTGGTGCCGATGCTGAAAGACAGGGATCCCGTGCTGCTGAGGCCCCCGCTGACCCTTGCTGCCGCCTGCAGAGCCAGCTGGGGCTGGTGGGCAGTGTGCTGAGCCCCCTCACCCCRGCAGAGCCCTCTGCCCTGGCCACCCCACCTGCGCCCCACCTTGGCTTCCTGGACGGGGGCACTGCATGGGCCGCCTGTGTCCATGCATCACACAGGCCAGTCGGAGCRCCGGGAGCCAGCGCACGAGTGAGACCATCATCTCCCAGGGCAGGATGCGGGTGCTTCACCCCCATCGCCCTTCGAGTCCGCGGCTCTGATGGACATCACTGAGTGGATGAGTGTGTGGCCATTGGGTGTGCAGGGACAGGGTTCTGGTGTCACAGTGGTGCTGGCTGGACAGATGGCCGGCTCTTTTCAGCTCCCTCGGGCCACCAAGGGGAGGGAGGGTGTGGCCCGAGAGGTGGATGGCCTAGCATTCTGTAGTGGCTTTGAGYTGGTTGGCATCCTGCCCCTGGGGCTGGATGCCCCCCAAGGCCGCCAGCTGAGGGATGGGGGCCGCAGCAGTTGCGCCTGGGTACTCACTTCTTGCCCTCCTGCGCCTGGCGCTGCACCTCCTGAAGCCCGTCCACGGCCTGGTGGAAGTCGAACACTGCGGGCCGCAGGCACCGGGGGCAGGGACAGCAGAGGACAGAGCTCAGCGGGGCCCGCCTGTGGCAGGTGGCCACTGGGAGGGCGTGGGAGGGCTTGGGTGTGACTGTCACCCTGGCCAGGAGTAGACGCCAGAGTCCCTGAGTCCCAGGCTGCCTGTGCCCTAGTCCCCTGTCTGCAGATGGGTTGGCCCCAGCTCCCGCTCAAGCTCTTTGAGAAAGGCAGGGGCGAGGGAGGGAGAGGGGGCCTCCCGGGGTGAGGGGGTGGGGGCCCAGCCCCCCCAGCCCCCCAGTGTGAACCTCACCCAGGTGGGCCCGGTCAGAGATGATGAGCCTCTTCTCCCAGTCCTTCAGTCCTGTGGGGACAGGGCACACAGGTTGGCTGTGCTCACAGGTGCACCGTACTCAGGTGAGAAGTGCCAAAGTCGGCCAGCACACCCGGCCATCCATGGGTGAGCACATGGCCAAGAGGCCAAGTGGGTCCCCCACACGGTGCAGCAGGTGACCACTCKGACCCCTGCCTCTCCCCTGCTGAGCTCTGGGAGGACAACCCTGCAGGCCCAGGGCTCTTCCTGCTCCAGCCGCCCTTCCTGGACTTCCTGAGCCTGAGGCTCCAGCGTCCACCTKCCTGTGATGCTGAGGCAGTGGCCTGAAGCAGGCCTCTAGGCTGCCCAGCTGCTGCCCACTGGGAGAGGACCCTGCCTTCTGCATGGGCAGAGACGGGGCCCAGCTGGAGAGGCTGCCCCACCTGCTGGCCCAATGCGCGTGGGCGGGCAGGCCTCAGGGACCCAGCCTACCTTTCTTCTCGTTCTTCTCTGCCTCTTCAAACAAGCCGGGCAAGTGGATGACCACGCCATTGCCTGCAACACACCGACAGGGTGGGTCGCGTCGCAGACCCTGAGACACGCTGCCTACAGCCACTCTGCTCCAGCAGGCAGGGGCCGAAGCTGCCCAGGTGTCCGTCCAGGGATGGGCAGATGAGCCACATGGTCCAGCCCAACACCGACTGTAATTCAGCCCTGAAAGGAAGCCTCTCACCGCACTGCGGCCGTGGGTGTGAGCTCAGTGCAATCAGCTGGATGGATGCTGTTGCGCGGGAACCAGAGGCTCCCATCCCAGGAGGTCCCTGCACTGACCAGCGCAGGGACAGAGACAGAGGGCGTCTCCCAGGGGTGGGGGAAGGGTGGGCAGGTTTCAGGTCTCAGAGCTTCAGTTTGGGGCGATGGGAGGCCCTGCGGGTGGATGGCGTGGTGCTCACAGGGTCGTGCTCCTTGGGACCGGAAACCCACCCACACAGAGCCTGGAGGTTACCCGGTGTCCTTCAGTGGGCGAGTGGAGGACGAACTGCACATTCAGGCCACGGGACGTCACTCAGCACCACAAAGAAAGGAGCCAGGAAGCCACAGAGGGCGCGGGGACCCTGAAACGCAGACTGCACAGGAGCAGAGCCCGAGCCGCRCTGCCCCGTGCCGCTCCCGGGGCCGGTGAAGGCACTTACACCCCAAAGCTCAACTTAAYGAACCCCATCTTCAGTCACCAGGAAAGGCAAAGGCGTGAGGTGCACACTGGCAGAGCCAGGGTCGGGCAAAGGGGTGCTGAGCAGGGTGCCAGGGCTGGGCAAAGGCGTGCTGAGCAGGGCGCAGGGGCTTGGGCCGTGGCCCTGTCTGGTGCTGTGCTGGTGAGTCCTCACACATCCTAGCCCACAGAATCCAGCAGAAGCTGCCCTCGGGCAGCCGGCACGCCCCCCTCCCCCTGACCCCCAGCCACGGGCACACGCCAGTCTGCACGAGCGCAGGGCATCAGGAAACCCGTCCCTGCCTCYCAAGTCTGCTGTGACCCTCCAACGGCTCGGAGACACAGAGGCATTCAGAACCACTAATAGTGACCACTGTGTCTGAGCAGTGGAAGCAGCCCCCGGGCCAGGTGAGCACACTGCAGTCAGGCTGCCTGCGTGGGTGGGCGGCACTGTCCCCACGGCTCCTGGGGCCTGGGGGGGCTCTGCCGTCGAGGTGGGGGGTGTGGCACAGCTGTGCTTTATGATGTGCCAATCACTCCTCAGTCTGGCTGTTATTTTACTGAAATGGCATGAAAATGGGGAGCAGAGCCTGGGAGGGACGCAGTACCAGCGTGCCCCAGGAGCAGAGCGGCACCTCCCCCGGAGACATGCTCTTCCCAAYGTGTAAAACAGAGATGTCCCACATAGGCAAGACAGAGGCCCAGAGAGGGAGGGTGACTTGCCCAAGGCCACACAGCACACTGGTAGAGTGTGGGCTGGGGGTGCTGAACTGGAGCCCTCTTCTCCAAGGCTGGAGGAGGCACAGTGGAGACCGAGGCTGCCTTCTCGGGGACTCCTCTCCCTCTGCTGGTGATATGGGGCTGACTGGGGCACAGGTTTGGCCAAGGGAGGCTGACCCCAGTCCAGATGGGAGTGACTGGCCACAGGGAGCACAGAAGGTCACCTAAATGCCACTATCTCAAAATAGCCATGTGAGAGGCAGGAGTGTCACCAGCGAAGGGCTTGGTGCAGGCCTTTGTGTCTGCCCCTCGTGCGACGAGCCTCTGCAGGGGCCGTCCTTCCTCTGCACTGACCACAGAGTCCGCTCTCCAGGTGTTCCCRGTGACCACCCRGCCTGTCCTCAGAGGCTGGGCAGCWTGCCATCCTGGGCCGGCCGTGGCTCCTGGGCCTCGTTTCCTGCCCAGCGCGGCCCGGGGCCCAGCAGAGCAAGGCTGGCAGCCAGTCCCCTGCATCACTGCCCAGGCAGCAGGTTGGTACCACGTCACAGCTGCCTGGGAGCTGGGGACAGGGGCTTGGGACACAGAAAGGCGGTCACCTCACTGTGCTCTGGGTTCTTTGGTGTGAAATGTGGATCGTCACCGCGGCAAGGGACAGAGATGAGGGCTGCACGGGGAGAGGCCCCGAGCCTCTGAGCTCTGGCGSGGCTCTGACCCTTCACGGCCGCTTTGGCCAGGTCTTCCTTCCCCAGCTGGTCTACAGTGGCAGGCCCCTGTGCCACCAACTGGGCACAGACACAGCACTTCCTGACCAGGCTGGCAGTCAGTTGAGTCCCAAGTGTGCCAGGCAGAGCCGGGAGGAAAGGGAGAAGAAGGGGCTGAGAACAGAGGGCAGGACGCTGGGCACCTCTGACTGGCCAGGGGGCAGGAAGGAAGAGAGGGAGAGCCACAGAGTCGTGGAGACTGAGGTGGCACTGGAAGGTCCTGGGTGGCTGCAGCAAGGTCAACAGGAGGAGGCAGTGCTGAGGTCAGTCAGCGGCGAGAGCAACAGCCCCTCGGGCAGGGCCAGTGAAGCACAGCCGTCCACACAGCCCACACCTCACACAGCAGGGGCCCCTGCACACACAGAGGCAGCGCCCACACTCGCCCCGCRTGTGCCAGGGACGGGAGCACACAGGGGTCCCTGCGCAGCGACCCCCTGCAGCCCCGCCCCAGGGCAGGCCCAGCCTGTGCCAGGATTCTGGCTGCAGGGCCCTGGGGACAGGCCAGGCCAGGCCCCTCTCAGGGCCCCCTGCACCCACACTGACTCTACCTCCCAGTTCGGTTTGCGTTGGGGGCAGGTGGCCGCCACCCTCCCTGCATGCTGAGCTCCTGGGCCCCACGCTCACAGCCTCTGAAAGGCAGGTGTGGGCTGGTCCTGGGGACACTCACCAATGAAGGACACGGCCTTGGTGTTGATGATGCCGCTGGGCAGCAGGTGGAAGTCGTACTCCTTGCCGTCCACCACCACCGTGTGGCCAGCATTGTTGCCCCCCTGGGAATAGAGACACGACTGAGCAGGAGTTGAGGACTGACCCTGGGGGCTKCCCAGCACCCCACCTCACTCCAGGGCCAGCGCCATCCCCGTGAGGTGAGGAGACTCCCGGGCGGTGGGACTGGGGCAGCCTAGCACAGCAGCCACTCTGACACGTGGGGAGGGGCCTGGGCGGGTGGGTGACCCTGTTCCTGGGACAGTCAGGCCTTTGCGTCTGCCCCTCGTGGGATGAGCCTCTGCAGGGGGCCGTCCTTCCTCTGCACTGACCACAGAGCCCGCTCTCCAGGTGTTCCCGGTGACCACCSRGCCTGTCCTCAGAGGCTGGGCAGCTTGCCATCCCAGGTGGGAGAGGCTCTGGCCCAGGCTGGCCCCAGGGGCTCCAGGAGGTGGCTCAGCACAGGCCTCAGCTTCTAGGCCACCCCATGTGCTGCTTCCTCTGGTGAGGACCAAGGCCCAGCCCTCTCAAAACAGGCCCAACCTGTCCCCTTCAGCAGCGGCCCTCCCCCTGGCCAGCATCTCCCACCTGAGAATACAAGGGAAGCAACTCAGAGGAGCCCTGTCCTGGAAAGTACCCGGTGTCAGGCCGAGGGGCTGGGGTGGGCACCAGGTGGGGGGAGGCAGGACCAGGCGGCAGGTTCCAGCCCCTCTCCTGCCACTGACCAGCCACTGGAGCACAGCCCAGGCTCCGCCCCTGACCCCATGTCCCAGGTCCTCATGAGGTAGGCCTCTGGTGCTGCAGATGCAAAGAGGCCCCATTGGGATGGAGTGCAATCAAAGTTCTGCCATGTCTGGGCAGACTGTCACCCACACTGGGTGGCTTGGCAGACCTCTGTTCAACAGGGGTATGTCTGAACCCCGGGCAGGAGGCCCACCCTGCATGGACATATTTGCCGGCAGGCAGAATACTCTCCTGAGATGGTGTGCTGCCCCCAAAGCAGGTCCCCTGCACAGGCACTTGAGAACCTTTTGGTGCCTCTTGAGAACCTGCTCAGACCTGCAGGGGCCTGGTGAGCATCAGCTGGGAGGGAGGCTCCAGGCTCGTCCTGCTTCCTGCCACCAAGTGGCACTGCAGCCCCGAGGAGCGGGACCCTGATTGCCTCCCAGCTGCACCCCATCTTCTCTGCCTTGCTAGAGGGCAACCAGTTGATGGGACTGAGGGGCATCAGGTCCTCCACCCTCACAACCCAGCCGAGCAGACGCCCAGGYGAGACCTGCAGGGAGAGTGGCCCTCACCTCTCCCCATGAGCACCGTGGCCACGGCTCCTCCTGATGCACTGGGCAGATCCGCAGCTTTAGCCCAGGCCAGGGAGAGGACAGATGCCCAAGGCCCCAGGTGAGAGCTGGTCCTGAGGGAGCTGGAGAGCTACACACCTCAGCCACCTCCCCATCCCAGGGCCTCCTCGAAGCCCCACCTGGGCCAGAACCTTCAGCAGTTGTCTGACACCCACCTGCCTGAAGCCAGTCCCCCACACAGTCCCCTGACACCAGTTAGGTTTTCCGATGCATGTGTGAGGCTCCGTCAGGTCTGCCCCGATGCCCATGAACAGACGTTGGCGCTGCSGCCCATGCCCACAGGGCAGGACCATCAGGAGCCTCCCAGCCACATCCGACCTGGCCCAGGCACTGCGGGCACCCCAGTCAGGGCTGGCTCTGGCCACATGACAGTACCTTCCCTCCCCAGTGTCCCTGGCCAGCAGAGCCCTGGGAGGTGTGTGTGGGGCAGTCTGACCTGACCAGGGCTCTGTGAGCAGATGACGATGGCCCCAGGGTGCCCKTGGGGAAAGGGCAAGAGGGACAAAGAGGGACGCAGGCATGGGTGCTGGAGGTGGTCTGCGTGGGCCTCCACAGAGAGGACACAGGGAGGGACCTAGAGGGGCTGCCTGCAGGCAGGGGATGAGAGGCCGGGTGGCAGGGTGGGGAGGAAGGGGCAGCTTGGGGACCTCAGCTCTGCCTGTGGGCCTCAGGAGGCCCGGGTCCTGTCCCAGGCCTGTGGGGCGAGTCCATCAGGATGGGGCCAGCCTACCTTCTCTGCCCCCAATGGCAGGCACAGTGTCCCCCACCTTCACAATGGGGTGCTTGCCACTTGGGGGCAGGCAGGGAGGTCCCTGTGACAGCTGGGGAAGCCAAGGTCCCCAGAGAAGGCAAATCTGTGGCGCAGTCAGGACTGGCAAGTTCTGCTACACACGGCCTCCCCCGAGGGCTGGCTGGCCTCCAGGGACATGAGATGGCCAAGGGCTGCAGGCCACGAGGGCTAGAGGCCAGGGAGCCCAGACACCCTGGGCGGTGCCCTGTCTCCCTGGCCTTCTTCAGCTGGTCCGAGGACATGGAGATGACGTGTGCCCGCCTGTGTTGGGGGTAAACACAGGTTCCCAGGAATAGCACAGGCGTCCTGGGCCAGCTGGCATCAGATGACCCAGGGCAGTGCCCACTGCAGGGCCCAGGCGTGAGGCACAGGCACTCCTGAGGGGCACCAGCCAGCCCAGTACACCAAGTGCCAGGCCTCTGCACATGGGGGCTCCCAGCATGTGGAGCCCAGTGTAGTGGGGTAGTGTCCCCTCCCCTCACCAGGCAGGGTCTCATCTGGGGCACTTGGTGGGGTTGGGAACAAGAGGACCCACCTCTGGCTTGGGCTTCCCAGAACAAAGGCACCCAAGGACAGCCGGGCATAAGGGGCCAGGGAGGGTTGGGCACAGTGGGCTCACCAGTCCCGAGGCGGGTCGGGGCATCCAGGCCTGCCCTGCACAGGCCACTCTGGGCTGCAGCCCAGTTTGGCAGCCATGTGGTCTGCTGTGAGGAGGTGGGACAATGAGCACGGTGGCCCAGGGGAGCCTAGCTGCCAAGCACGCGTTGCCCTGGGCTCAGTGTTCCCACTCCAGGGGAGCGAACGCCATCTCAAGGGGCCCACACTCCAGCCCTGGGGGAGGACTGGGCCTGGCCGTGGGCAGCTCTGGGCGTCAGAGATGGGCAGAAGTGTCTTGCTGACACCTCCATCAGTCAGGCTGGGGCCGGGCAGAGGCAGGGCCCTCGTGTGCAGGACAGGGAACGCAGCCCGCAGCTCTGACTTGGCTTTGACCTGCCCAGGGAGCTGGGGCAGTTGGTGGGATTGAGAAGGGACYGAGACACTAGGGCCAGCCCTGGGTGGGCCCCTTGCCCAGTCCCCCTCCTTGGGGGTCCACTGGGATCTTGATGTCAGGTGGACACCAGGCCCCTGGACATGGTGTTGTGGGCACCATCTGCATGGAGCATGTGTCTCTACTCAGCCCCTCCCAGTGCGGGGCCCCAGGGGCAAGCCCTCCTTCGGACCCTCCTTCTACTCAGGAGTAACTGATGGACACAAGAGCCAGGCTGAGCGTCTCAGAACATTGCCTGCAGCCTGGGTTGCCATCCAGCCAGCTGGCCCCTTTCTGCAGATGCCCAGTGGCTGCCCTGCTCTGTCTGCTGCTGGGAGCAGGAGGCAGCTGTGGCCTGTTGGAACCCAAGTACCTGAGTTTCAGGTGCAGGGTCCTCCAGGAGGCTCTGCAGAGCGCTCTGTTCACCTAAGATACTCGCTGCATCTCCTGCGGGCAGATCAGAAGCCCAGGCCCACTGTCCCTGGGAGAGGAGYGATTTGCATGGCCAATGGGCTGGATCATGCTGTGGGTGGCCAGAGATGGTCCCATGTAATGTGCACTGCACAACTGCAGGGGTGCTGTCACATGGCTATGGCATGAACGATGCTCCCAGAGGTGTGGCCGTCTCTAGCACCCCATGTGCCTCCCACYGTCTGCCAGGTGAGGAGACAGTCCCTGCTCTCAGGAGCATGCTGATGGTGGCYCAGAGCACCTGCCTGTAGTGACCTACACTCGAGACCAGGCCAGGGGCCCAGGGTCAGGGGTGTTGAGGAGTCGACTGGACATCATAGAATGGTCAGTCCCTCTAGACCCTTCCCAAGGCCTTCTCCCTCTGGGGTGGAGCCTCAGTTCTGAAGCCCCTGTGAACACTGATGTCCACCTACTGTCCCTTGCCCAGCTGGACAGTCACTCAAAGTGTCTTGGTCCCTGGTGGTCAGGAGTTTAAGATGGGCTTCTCTCCCTCCTGGACAGATAGAGGGACTGAGGCCTGATCCCACTTCAGAATGGCCTGGCTGACTGCTGCTCCTCCTGCAGTGCAGGGGGCCTGGCTTCTGCTGGGGTCACTCTCCAGGTAGGGCTGGCGGGCTGGGGAGGTGTGGAGAGGTTAGGTCCAGGCCCTGCAGGCCCTATGTGTGGAGGCTGTGGCCCTGCAACATGGACACCCAACTCTGCCCCTACCCATCCTGGAGCCGAGGGCTGCACGGCCCCTGCCGGCTGCCCTGGAGCCCAAGGCTCSGTCAGCCTGAGACCCAACCCTGGCGCCTGCGTGCTCTCCCCTTCYGGGTGCCCTCTGGGCCATGCACTCATGATCTCCTGCTGCCTGGGGCTGCCACCTGCGCACCCCCACACCAGCGAAGCCTGGGGCTGGACATGGCCCAACTTCCCCAGCTTTGCTCCTGCTGCCCCCTGTCCTGGTGCTGACCTTCCCTTGAAGCCCTCCAGCCTTCATACTGTATCACCACCTGTGGCACCTCTCTGGGGCYCTTCTCCTAGGCCACCCGGCTCTTACCTTCCCAGCTCTGGGTCACCCCCGCTCTGTTCCGACTGGGAACACTGACACCCCTCTGTGGCCAGCACCTCCTCCTTGGAGGCAGCAGGGGAGGCTCTGTGGGTATGGGTGGGCATGTGTGGGTGTGTGCTGAGGGCAGTGCTGAGGTGGGTGCCACTCCCAGGGCCTCTGCCGTGGCTCAGTGACCACAGGTGGTGGGAGAGACCTGCTTCTGAAAGCAACCCCTGGTGTTCCCTGCTCAAGGCTGTGGCCCTTGTTCTCCCAGGACACCCAGGAGCAGCCTGGGGACCAAAGCAAACTGTTTCCAATAACTCCCTTGGGAAAAGCTCCAGAGTGCCCTCAAACCCCAGGACAGGCCCCTCAGTGCCTGGGATGTCTGCTCTGACCAGCACCGCTCACCTCAGGACACACGGGGGAGACCCTGGGGTCCCACGGCCCAACACACACAGCCAGCTCTCCACACGGCCCCAGCCTGCCAGCCCTACCTAGAGAGTGCCCCAGCAGGAGCCAGGGCAAAGGGGCCTGAGTTCACAGTGCTAACCAGGTCAAAGCCCCCACAGCCAGACAATCGGCATCCCAGTGCCTTTGCTCACTGCAGGAGGGACGTTGTGCAGCAGTCCTGGGCAGGGAGCCCCCGCAACCACGGGAAGGCTCTGTGGGACGGAGGGAGGATCCAGAGAGCAAGGRCAGGCCAGCGCTGGGGTGCAGCCAGGAGACCTCTCAGTGAGCCCGCCCGAGGGGGCAGCTGGGCTGGGAGGCTGGTCAAGCAACGGAGAAGGAAACACAGGGACATGGAAAGAGGGAGGCAGGTGGAGGTACCGAGGGGCTCCTGGGACGCCCTGCATGTCCCTGCCCGGGGAAGAGAGCAGGAGCCCCAGCACCAGAGGCAGCTGGTGCCCCAGGCTGTGACAGAGCAGGACAGCCTGGCTCAGAAAGACCTGGCCTGGAGGGAGCAAGGGGCAGCGAGCAGAGGGTGCCACGGTCCCCAGAGGCCCAGAGCCATGCAGTGGAGGTGGGKCTGCTCATGGTGAATGCGGGGGCTGTGGGTGGGTTGGGCACCAGCAGCCCAGCAGAGAGCAGGACCTGCAAGGCAAAGATACACGGTGGGTGTGGCCTAAGGCCAGAGGCACTGGGTGCCATGGGTGCCCCTGGTCCACCAGGGCACACTCTGACTGCAGGCCCCAAACAACTGAGCAGGGAAGCAGGACAGCTGCGGGCCTGGGGCAGTCCCAGGCCACCATTGGGCAGGCGGAGAGTCAGATCTCGGAGTGAGGTGGGCACACAGTAATGTGTGGGAGCTGGACCTTTAGACCGGACTGTTGGGCAGTGTTGGCAGAGGCCGAGCCAGCACCTGCACCCTCCAGAGGCCAGGGCCGCCCTGGGGACAAAGCAGCCACCTAGGATGAACTGGGCTGCAGGCCAGGTGACCCCCTGGAGCCTAAGGAACCAGCAGCCTGGCCAACTCACTGCAGGGACACAGGCTGGCCCTCTGCCCACCACATATGCGTTCACTGCCCAGTTCCCTTGGCCCCTTCCTGCATAACCCCGGGGTCCATGGCAAGGTCTGGCCTCAGGCATCCCCTTCTGGCTCTTGCACACACTAAGCACAGGGTGGCCTCTGTGGGCCTCTGGCCTGGCCTTCACTCTGCCAGCCTGTGACCCCACAGGGGTGGTCCTCCGGGGCAGAGAAACACGGAGACGTTGGGGAGCCTGGTAATAGGCAAAGAGCCCCATTAAGGGGAGAGGCAAATGCAGGAAGCCAGGTCACTGCACACCTGCAACGAGCTGGGGGCCAGACCTCCAGGGGAAAGGGCTCCAGGCCTTGCCTAGAGGAGGGGCCTGGAGTGAAACTCCCAGGTCCAATACCTTCTCCATGGGGGTGAGGCAGGAGAGCAGGCCCTGTTACCAGGGGGGCCTGTGGCAAGAGCTGCGAGGCTCCAAAGAGGCGTTACTGTCACTCTTCACTTCTCTGGGCCTCGGTTCCCCACCTGTAAAGGAGCTCAGAGCAAGGGCCCTGCCTGGTGGCCTGTTAGGAGCCGGAAGAGACAGGGTCCTGGCTCCACTCTGCTAGAGTCCAGGACTCCTCAGCGGGGGAGGCCCAGCTAGGGGAGAGGGCACTTCTGACCCCAAATTCAGGTGATAGGGTCCAGCCTGCTCTGGACTCTGCTCATCCTGTCAAGTGATGGGAGTGGGCAGGACCTGGTCTGCTGACCCAGGTGGCAGGGCAGAGGGACCTGCTCTCAGAACTGTCTCCACAGCCAAGAGCAGAGCCTGCAGCCACCCAGACAGACACTATGTTGAGATTGGCAGGGTCTTCGCACCACTGCAGCATACGGGGCTGACCAGGGCTGGCGAGTTATATGGAGGGGCCCTGGGTACCACTGGAGCAAAGACAGGCGGGGCCCTGGGACTGGGGCCCACCGGAGCCATGGACCACTTTATACCCGGGCKGCAGGGGGACAAGGGTCTGTGGCACATGCCCAGGGGCAGAATGTGCAGTGCAGAGGGAGTGGGGATCTGAGGGCCGCTCTGCCCCTAAGGCCCGMAGGGGGAAGGGATGGGCTTGGTTGGCATGGCCTGGGGCAGAGAGGTAGAAGTCTCCCCGACCCTGGGAAGAACTTTCCAGGAACTTCCCATCCCCTGACAGGCAGGTATGGCCAGAGAGCTCTGAGCCCACAGGCTCTGGGGAGGCGGTCCAGCTCAGGCATGCCTGGAGCTCAGCAAGGAGTCAACAGAACGGGGGAGGAGCTCCAGCAGGTGCCCTCCTCCCCACCTGGTCCGCAGCACCCTCATGTGCACCACAGCTGACCCCTCTGTGCTGGACACAGCCCACAGGCAGCATGGCTCCAAGCCCCAGCAYAGCACCAGGCAGGGACCCACAGAGACCAGGGTGGTGGCCACTGCGTCCAGAACTGTCAGAACAGACTCAGGCAGAGCACCCCGCAGCTGGCTGAGGCCCCGCCCAGGCCTTCAGGGGACAAAGCCTGTGTCTGGCCTCTGTGGCACCAACAGCCACCGGGTCACCCTGGCCAGAAGGCTGTGGCCCCTCCCTCCATGGCAAGCAGGACCCTCCAGAACTCTCCTTCAGATCAGTACTGGTGGCTACTCCACAGGACAGTGGCTCAGTCTGTGTCCTGCCTCTGCCTGGCTGAGTCACTAGGGTCACTCCCTGCCAGACAGGCAGCTCTCTCTCCTAGCCATGCACTGACCCTRTGTGGTCAGCCAGCTCTGTCCCAGATGTCAGTGGGCCCCAGGTGATGGCTCCTTCCAGAATGAGGAAAGGGGTGTCCTAGGGAGGGACCCTGGATGTCGTGGGGCCCTGGAATCACCCTGAGCTGGGTCGTCCCCTCTAGGGAGGGGCCGTCACTCCTTTGGTATGCCCCACCCCCTGAGGATCAGGTGTGTCCAACTCAGCGACTTGTATTTATAGCTCTGGCTCTGGCCACCTCCGGGGGCGGGGGCGGGGGSGGGGGSGGGGGGGGGAGTGGGCAGGGTGTCAGGTGGAAGAGGGGGCTGAGTGTGTGGGCAAGGGTGCGTGTGTGCGTGCGTGCATGGGTGGGGGCCGCTCCTGGAGCAGGTGCTCCTGGAGGGAAGGAATCCAAGAAGTTGACCCAGCCGGAGCACAGGAGGACAGGGTCCGTCTGGGTCCCGGGGAGGGGGAGGGGCTCGCTGGGCGCGATGGGGAGGGACCCGGCGCCCGGCCCGCACCTGGCAGCGGCTGACGATGTCGGCGTCCGTGGCCAGCAGGTCCACCACCTTGCCTTTGCCCTCGTCCCCCCACTGCGCGCCCAGCACCACGGTCACGCGGGAGCCGGTCGCCGCCGCCTCCTGCTGCATCCGCCCCCGCTTGACGCCGCCCGCGCCRGGGGGCCGGTCGTTGGAGGCTCGGGTCCCCGACATGCTGGCTCGGCTCGTCCGCTGCGCTGGGCTGCCCGGGAGCCCGCCGCGGTCCGCGTGCCCGCGCCATTAAATGCCGCCGCCCGGGGCGGGGGGCGGGCCGGGGGCGGGTCCGGGCGCTCGCGGTGACGCGCCACGGTGACCTGCGGCCCTGCGGCTGAAACTACCGCTCCTCGGTCGCCGCTGCCCGGGAGCGCGTCGGGTGGTGGGTATGGCGGAGGCGCACCGACACACAGCAGCGGAAACCTGTGTCCCGCGCGCGACCCCCGCGGGTGAGCCTGTCCTGCCTGCAGCCGGGATCGCTGTGTTTCGTTCGTCCCCGCCCCGCCGGACTTGCCGGGCCCAGGACTTCAGGGTTCGAAACTGCGGCGGTGGGTCTCCCCTACTGGGCGCGAGTGTGGTTTGAAACCGGGGCTGTGTCTTCGCGCGCACCTGGAGGGTCCTCTCTCCCTGCCTCACTTGCCCGCCGTGAACCCGGAATCCTCGGACGGGCGCGCGCCCCCTAGCGGTCCTGGAGAGACGCGCATGGCGCCCTCAGACGCGCAAGGCGCCCTCTCTCTATGCACTGTACCGGCCCRGGGCACTGTTGCGCTGGGTCTGGCTGTAGCGTGCAGGTGGCTGCAGCACCCAGCCCTCAGTAGCCAAATTTGGGGTAGAGGGACCACGCTGTCAGGGTCACCTGATGTGCACCACGTCAAGGTAGGGCCTAGGTTTCCAGGAGCCCCCAGACCAGACCTCCCTCCTTTTCCAGAGGAGGGACTGAGGGCCCAGAACGTTGGCCACGGTCTGCTGGCGCCTGTGCGCCCGGTTGGGTGCACTGCTCACACCCCTCCACCTGGCTCCAGGTGGACCTAGCTTGGAGGGCTAGCCTGTGACTGTAGACCTGGAGGAGGCTAGCCCAGAGCTGGAGAGGGGGCCTCGAAAGGGCCCAGGCCTGGGAGACACTGCCTTCCTTCTCTCCCTGGGGGTTCCCTGTGCCAAAGGGCCCGAAGCTGACAGGCTCACTTGTGGATGTGGCTCACAGAGCTGCCAGGGGCCTTGGGCTCCTGAGGTGGCTCTCAGGTCCATGGCAAGGAGTCCAGGGTGACTGGACAATGTCCATGAGGAAGGATGTGGACCCTTGGCTTGTCCCARAATAGGAGAGTGCTGCAGCCCCTGCCCTCCTCCTCCTGTGGCCTCTACACGCTCTTCTTCCCCCTCCCCACTGGAGACCTAGCCCCGTCCCCCTCAGCCTGTTCCCAGCCACATAGAATGTACCAGTTGCCCTTGCCCTGCTCCTGCCGGGGCAGGTCCCTCTGGACACTCCCTGTCCCTGGGTTGCTGTGGTGAGAATGCCTCCTGGGGCTGCAGCAGTCAGGGGGCCTGGAACTGGGAGACCACATTCCCAGGAGAGAGCTGCAGCCTTTCCACATAGACCGCATGACCTGGCCTTGCTCCAGCCCAGGGCGGTGGTGAGGCAGGGCAGAGGGCCCCTCCAGGGAGGCAGAGCAGGCTGACCCACCTTGCACTGTGGCGGGGGTGCAGCTGGGGGTGCAGCAGACAGGAAGGACAGGGCCTTATCAGGGGAAACCGGGGTCGCTTGCCAGGGCTTTGTGTCCAGGAGAGAGGAACTGGGCCTGTGAATGCCCAATTTAAACGCACWTCAGACAAAGGGTGCTTGCCCTTGTCCCCCTGGGGCACTAGCTCTCCTCACTGGGGAGACCCTGGGCTCAGGGTCAGTAGGTGTGAGTCAAGATTTGGAGGAATCAGGAGCCACCTTGATGGCCCCACCATGGGGGCTTAAACAGGAGGCAGTTCAGGGCCAAAARCTGGCCTGGGGCACTGATTCCCCCAGGCCTGAGACTGTAAATAGCCATGGGCCTGAGTGGGGGGGGGCAGGGCTTTTCTAAAAACAGCCCTGTCCAGGCCCCACAGCTGAGGCCCTGACAGTCACATGGCCCTTCCCAAATTAGAACACCCCCCCTGCAGCAGGCCTGTCACCACAGTGGGCACCACAGCAATCCCAAAGCCCGGGACTCCCAGCCTTGAAGCTGTGCACCTCAGACAAGTGGCCTCAACACCACATTGTGGGCCCAAGGGCCACCACGGAATGATGTCACAGATGGTGGCCAGGACACACACAGATGCTGGYGCCTACACAGCATCCATGAACCGGCTCTGTGGCAGGGACCCAGCTCCCGCTGGGTGGGTGTTCACCCTGGTTGTAACCGGCTCAGCTGATGTGGGGGGAGGGCAGTGAGGACAGGGCCCTGGAGGCGCCTCACTGTGGGCCGCCTCCCCGCCCCTGTAAGGAGGAGGGTGGGGTCCCCACAGGGCACACAGTCCAATACTTGGCACCTTGGGAAGTTTGTGGGGGACAGAGGGAGGGAGGAGTGGAGCTCTCTAAAAACTACAGCGCAACCGGGAGTGGAAGACACAGCCGCTTCCCAAGACAGCTCGCCATTTCTTAAAAAGTGAAACCCAGCTGCTCTTCCCTGGGATGTACCTCTGAGCAGCGAAAACAGCCCACACAAGGACAGCGTGCCAAGCTGYGTCCTTCACAAAAGTGACGGATGGGCGGAGACCAGGCACGCGGTCTGGAGCCTGGAACAAGGCAGCCAGGGACTGCGACGTGCCTGCACCATAGCACAGCGAACCTCGGAAACAGGCAACAGGCCAGCCACAGAAGGTCATGTCCAACCTCCCTCACACGAATGTCCAGCAGAGGCAAACYCATGGGCATAGGAAGCCGGTGGGGCCTGCTCATGGGAAAGCTGGGCTCTCCGGAAGCACCCCAGGCTTGCTGGTGGTGGCTTCATGGTCCTGTAGACGGCCAGTGCTCACAGTGGGCACAGTTTGCAAGTCATGCCTGGCTCATGCTGTGGTCAGGGACTGCCCACCACCTGGGGGCCTTGTCCTGTGCCATGGGGGAGCAGGCAGGCCTGCTTTCCCACTTCCCCGGGGCCCCCAGGCCCTCACAGCTACTCTGGAGTGAACATGTCAATGCACGTTTCCATGAAGCAGAGAGGGCTGCTGCTGGCCATCGAGGAGGACCCCCGTGTGCCCTCAAGGAAAGCAGAAGTCTAGCACCAATCTCAAGGTAGTGGTGGCCTGCCCGTGTTGGTCAGTGCCCAGGGAAGTCCTGGGAGAAACTGGCTAAACCCAGGTAACTGGGCAAAGGGCAGATGGACAACAGCTGCTCTGAGGGGCAGGGAGGGCTGAGTCTGGCTCAGCAGGCCTCCAAGTGAGGGCCTGGGCAGTGGCTTGGGAGGCACTTCGCCTTGTTCCCTTCTGGGTGGGCATGGCCCAGCTTGAAGGAGCCTTGCAACAGGGCACCCTGCCTGCCTCCCTTCACCAGGAGACCTGAGGGGCCTGGGTGCAGGTGCTCGGGCCCGATGGCTGCTCGAGTGTGCAGCTGGCTCTGCAGGCCCCGGCCCAGCAAACCTGACAACCGGGGCAGCTCACAGCCAGGCCTGCTTGGTATTTTTTGGAATTGAACCCAGAGGCACTTTACCACTGAGCTACCTCCCCAACACCTTTTAGTTTTTATTTTGAGATAGGGTCTTGCTAAGTTGCTCAGGCTGGTCTCAAACATGCAGTCCTCCTGCCTCAGCCTCTTGAGTCACTGGGATTGTAGGTGTGGGCCACCATGGCTGGCTGCTGCACTGATATATTTTTAAGCTGTAGATGGACACAATGTCTGTATTTTATTTATTTATTTTTATGTGGTGCTGAGGATCGAACCCAGTGCCTCACTGCTGTGGTCAGGGACTGCCCACCATAGTTATTTACATGTGCTAGGTAAGTGCTCTGACACTGACCAATAGCCCRGCCCCTAATTTTTAAAAAATTTAATCTGGAAGGTGTTTGCTTCAAACCCCTGCACTCCTCCAACCTGCCACCCCTCCCTCTGTCCCTCTGCCCACTCTCCACAGGAAGAGTGCTGAGGGGGTGCCTGCCCTCAGTCCCCAAATTCCCTCAGGTATAAGTGGGTGAGGCACCTGAGGGAGGCCCTGGAGATGCAGCAGACTCCAGGCTGGACCAGGGAGAGCCCTGTCCCCCTCTGCTCCACCTCCTGCTCCCCTTTCCACAGGGCAGAGACCTTGCTCACTGTCCCCTGCCCYGCCTGCTATCCCACCCACTCCTCCATCTGCCTGCCCCTCTCTTCCCTCCGCCACCCCCCCCCAGCTGTTGGGAAGGCCGGACAATGGGGCGGCACCGTAAGTACCCCTCCACCCAGCCCATGGCTCGGAACACAAGGACACAGCTGACCAGGCTTGGTTTTTATTGGTCAGAGTCCCTGCTGGCCTCCAGCCTCCTCAGCACACACCTGGGGGTGGGAGGAGKCAGGGCCGGGCTGCCCCTCACAGGGCAGATACTGAGGAGACCCCCAGCAGCTGCTGAGAACCACCATGTAGCTGCGCAGGTGGACCCTCCCCATCCCTTGGGGCCAGCCCAGCGCAGGGTTGGCAGGCCTGGCTATGTCCATAGGCAGACCCCTCCCTACCTCCAGGGGCCAGAAACGGAGGGGGCCTTGGCCTGCCCACAGCAGGGCCCGCCTAAYCCTAGGCCTGGAGCCCCCTCACCGTCCCCAAGCCAGCTGCCTCGAAACAGTGAGGCCTGGGGACAGCATTCCAGTTAAAAAGCAGCTGAGCAGTGGCAGGCTGGACAGGGGCGCTGTGCCCACTACAGGGGCCCAGCCCCCGAGGGCCTGGAGGCGATGCAGGCAGATGGGAGGAGCCCACTGTGGCACATGCAGGTGCAGGGCTGGGTGGTGGCTGAAGAGCAGATCACCAGGTGGGCGTGCAAGAGGCCCTGGGGGGAGGGCGGGCCCAGGGCATGGGTGCCTGCGGGGTTCCAGCCAGGACGACCCAGGGAGGCTTCCGGAGGCCCTGGCTGGGCAAGGCACGGAGGTTTGGTTCTCAGGGGCTCAGTCCCAGCCTGGCCCTGGAAAGCTTCATTCATTTCTAACATTACATCCAGCTGCCCACTGCTGTGCCCAGGCTGGCCAGGGCTCTCTCACTTGGCTTTGGGCTTGGGTCTGAGGCCTGTGGAAAGGAAGAGAAAATGACATCATAAGAAACTACCTTGCTGGGGACGACCCTGGGTGCCCTCTTCAGGGTCCTAGGCCCCTGCACTCCTCTACAACCATTGCCAGGACTGAGTTATGTATCCCAGGTCCACTCTGACCCCAGGGTCTTTCCCTGGGGCAGCAAAATTTATCCACGTGGAAGGTACCTACATGATGTGAGCAGGAGGCACCTGTGGAGGGCCCGTCTCCACAAGGCTTGGTGCCCTGAGCTGTATCCTCTGCTGAGATGGGACCACGTGGCTCAGCTCCCCCATGTCCACACTCACTGATCCCACCTGGAGCTCCCTCCATGCCTGCCCCTCCTGGCCCCTCTGCTGGACTCTGTCCTGCCTGTTCTCCATTGCATGCTGAGAGCCCCAGGGCTCAGTGCCAGCAGTCCCCTCAGCTGGACYGCCTCCCTGCTGACCCCACAGGTGCCCTGTCCCCAGCACCCTGGGCTCCTGTCCATGGCCTTTACTCAGCTATCCCAAGAGCCCTCCCTTACTGCCACCCTGGTACAGGGTACAGGGGGACCTGGGTTTGAAAACCCAATGTTCAAAAGAGACAGTGAGCAGGAGCAAAAGTAAAATCACTCAGGGGGACTTCAGGACCCTCCCACCCCAGGGAACCAGACGGGAGGGCACTGCAGGCTGGGCCCAGAGTAGGGGTGCTCAGAGAACGGGGGGCTGCTGACCCAGAGGCACAGGAAAGGGCCGGGCTTGGTGGAGCACCCTGCACTGAAGTCAGAGGCAGCAGAGGAGGGGGAGGAGACCTAGAAGAGACGTCGGGCACCCTGCTGCAGGGTGGCAAGGGGCGTGTGGCTCAGGTGGCACCCCAGCTGTAGCCTTGCATCCTGGGAGGTCTGTGGCCACCACCGCCTCAGCCACGAGTCGGCGTCACGTCAACACAGAGCCCAGGCCCTCCCGGCACCCTCTGCTAGGGTTCCTGTCCCCACYGGGGGAGGCCACCCAGACACACCAGAGCCACAGGATCTCCCAAAACATCACAGGAGACAAGAGGCAGGACCTACGGGGCGGAGGGCACCGAGTAGTGACTCCAAATACCCTGGCTCCGGACAGAACCTCGCCTCCAGAGACACCAGACACCCCCTCTGGGAGGTGCCGTGGGACMCGGGCCGCGTCTGCCTAGCTGCTCTGGTGTCTAGGGTGCTCCATGGGCCTCYGTGTCCCTGTGCTAGGGTTTGGAGTGAGGTGTCCCCCAAGGGTCCATGCGAGACAATGCAGGAAGGTCAGAGGAGACAGTGAGTCAACCCCCTGGGGGGTTAACTGAGTGGTGACTAAGTGGCGGCTGTGGCTGGGAGGTGGCCCTGGGTCTCTATTTTGTATCTGGAGAGAGGAGTCTCTGCTTCCTGGTCACGGGTCAGCTGCTTCCCTGGGCCACACTCTTGGGCCAWGAGGTCCTGCCTCATCTTGAGCCCCAAGGAGTGGGGCCTGCTGTCTCTGGTCTGAGGCCTCTGACACCGTGAGCCCCAGATGGACTTCTCCTCTTCTAGTTGTGCTGGTCGGGGCCCTTTAGTCACAGCAGCAAAAAAGCTGACTAACACACCCTGGTGACCAGGGCAGCCTCACGCCACCCACACTCTCCCGCGGCCCTCCAGCCTGGCGGGGGGCAGCCAGGGCTGGCGAGGCTAGGCTTTGCCGCCTCTGCACTTCTRGGAGAGGGCACTGTCGTCCTGATCCTGTCAATGTCCTGTCGGGGCCACGTTTTCCCAGAGAGCTGGGACACTAGAAGGGCAGGACTTCTTCCTGAGCCAGGGTGGCACTGGACCGGGGCCACRTGTCACTGCCAGCCCTCCAAGCCCACAGACTACATGTTCCCACTGTCCCCTAGGCCAGGGCAGCAGCTGGGAGAAGAGCTGTGAGGACACAAGCTAGCCTCTGAGGGGAACCGGGTGACCTGATAGCCCAGCTCACAGAGTAGCCCCAGGCAGCAAAGGCTCGGGCCAAGCGTAGGTGGGTCCCGCAGCGAGGGCCGACTGACTGTAAAGAGAMGCACACCTTCTGGTCTCCACTGGTCTGGCCACCACACAGCAGACCCCACCCCCCAGAGCCTAAATTCCGAGCATCAGGCCTGGCCATGTGCAGCGTGGCCAGATGTGGCCACCGGAGCAGTGCTGCGGGTGATGGCCCCTCAGCTGAGCTCACAGAGCTCGTGGCTAGCCGGGCTCTCTGCCCTCCCTCAGACATAGGCCAGGCACCCGCAGGGGCCAGGCTGCTCGAGCTGCATCTCAGCCTCTTGGGCATATCCACTGCCCTGGCTGTCCTGTCCATATGTGGGCCCTGGAGACCAACTGACACACACTGCACCTAAACAGCCTGCAGTCTCAAGGACCTGGCCACGGGGCAGAGGGGGCCTGTCCACCCTTGTCCCTAGCAAGGACAGTATCTGCCCCGGGCACTATCCTGGTCTCCTTACAGCCTCCCCGGGAGTGTGCTTGGCCAGCACCTGGGCCACAGCAGGACTGCAGTGGACCTAGGAGGCCCAGCCTTGGGTGCCGACTTGGAGTGAAGGTGTGGGCTCAGCAAAGCTGCAGGTTAGCGGGCAGCAGTTAGGGCTTAGACGTGGGGTAGGAGCAACCTCAGCCTGTCCTGCTGGCCAGGAGATTAGGCCACCCCCAAAGACCTGGCACTGTGTCCCAGGGGGCCCAGAGTCCTGAAGGGAGCCCGGCTTGGTGCTGTCCACCCRCCCTCTCGAGGCCACGTGCCTGGGCCAGCTCTGAGGTTGCATCCTGTGGTAGCAGAGGAGGCGGCAAGAAAGCGAGGCTAGGCAGCCTGGCCCTCCCCGGCAGGGAGGGCGGGAAGGAGCCTGCCACCAAGGCCTGGGCATTTTCGCCCAGGAGGCTGGAGGGAGGCCAGGGTTAGCATCCTGCAGGCTGAGGCCCAGCGCCCGCTGCCACCGTTAGTCCACAGGCGCCAGCGCGTACATACCTCACTGGACGGCACACAGTCTTTTTGTTACATTAGCGTCAGAACCAGGGGCAACTTCTGCTTTCAAATAAGAGAAACTACTCTCAGCACTTGTCACAGGGGAGAAGCCCTGAATGAGGCATCTGGGGGCCACGGGACCAGGCCAGCCTCACCAACGTCCCCAGGACCATGTGCCACTGAGGTCCAGTGCCCCAGTTCTCTGGCCACTGAGCCCAAGGCAGCTCACGCCAGTCCACCCTGCACAGCCTCTGGCTGCAGCCGCCCTGCCCCCAGGCCCTGTGGGAGTGGGAGTGGGGCAGGGTCAGTGGGTCAGGGGAACAGCAACCTGTCAGCGGAGGCCCCCACAGCTGCCTGCCTGTGTGCGGCTTGCTTCCCTGGGTGGTGCGCCTAAGACTATTCAACCCTCTCCAGGGTGGGGTTGCGCCTGCAGCACCCCTGGAGAGGACAGGAGAGGGGCCGCTGGCAGCAGGGAGAGGCCGGGCCCATGTGGGACGCAGAGCTTGACCACAGGCCGGCAGCCCTACCTGTGCTGGCCTGGCCCCAAGTTACCTTCCTGGCTCCTTGAGGGACGCTTCTTCCTCCGCTTGCTTGTCCCCTTTGAGGCCCGGCCTCGGGATCTGGGGAGGGTGCCAGACCCCGAGGAGTCTGTCACTGCGTCCTCGGAGAAGGACTTGTCCAAGGATGTGTCCAGTGCAGACTCAGGGGCTGTGTCTTCCTCATCCTCGTCCCCACCAGGGCCTGTGGCAGGGGGGCCAGCACTTTGGCCCTGGATAGCTGTGTCCTCTGGTCCTTGGCCTGTGCTGTGTGCCTTGGCCTGGTGGACGTCCTGCAAGCCTCCAAGCTTCTCCGGGTCCTGGCTTGAACTCTCAGCCCCGGGGGGCTTGTCTCCAGAGAACTGGAGGGGCTTCAGGGCCCGGGTGTCTCCCAGAGTCACTGGCCAGGCCCCCTCGGAGGGCTGGGGATTCTGCGTGTCCTCGGGGGCCAGGAAGTCACTGGCATCCACGTACCAGGAGGAGCGCCTCTCCAAGGGCCGCAGACTGCCCTCCTCCCGGGGGGGCCCTGGGCTGGGAGTCACAGCATCCGCCAGGTCCCAGCCCTGTGGCCTCCCAGCTGCAGCAGCATCAAGGCCCAGCTCAGGGACGGGGTGGCTGGCGTCCTCACGGGGGCCTTGGGCAGGGTCACTGGCGGCTGCTGTAGATGGAGGGACGCGTCAGTGAAGGGCCAGCCCAGCCCCTCCCTGGACAGCCCTCCTGACCCCCAGGCCCATCTGACTCCTTAAACTCCACTGTTTCCGGGGTCCCCATGTGTGGCTTCCCACAGGCTGGACAGGGTCCTGCATCCTCACTCTGCCCACAACATGGACAAAAGAGGGCACCCYAGGGGCCACATGAGCCACCCCTGTCCCCAGATCCTGAGGTGGCCACCTGGGAATGGGGGCCTCTCCCCGAGGCCTGCCTGTCCCACCACCTCAGGTCCCCGAGCCCCAGGGATGCAGTGGGCACCATCCCCCATGTCTCCCGGCTGCTCAGAGGCTGGACAGACGCACCCACCCCCAGGGCAGCCCCCTTGCTGTGCTGTCAGAGCTGCCCCCTGCTGTCCCCTCCCTCCAGTGCCCCCAGGGAACCCGAAGAGAGGAGGAGGGCCAGGGTCTCACCTGGCACTGTGGCCCGCAGGAGTTCTGCTGAGGCCTTGCTGCCCACCTCGCTGTCCCCCCGGCCTCGGGCCGTCTTGCGCAGCTGGAAGCCCTTCCTGATGTCAGCCAGCAGGGCATCGATGACACACACCTCCTCCTGCCTCCCAGGGCCCTTCCTGACTGAGGAGCCAGAGACGGGCAGAGAGCTGCTCTCAGCCGCAGGAGAGGCCCGGGGCAGTGCACTGGGGGGAGGCACCCCACCTGGCCCTGCCCCCCCAGGCCTCACCAGGCTTCCCATCCTCGCCCCGCGGCCTCCGTGCCTCCTCCTCCGCCAGCTGCTGCTTCCTCCTCTCCGCCTTTGCCACCTGCTCCTTCCTGTCCTTGTTCTCCTGTGCAGGCAGACAGGAGCCCCATTGTCCGGCTCTCAGTCACCCTGTGAGCCTTCGGTGGGCATGTCCCCCTCCCTGGGCTGCAGGGGCACAAGGGACAGGCCAGGCTGGCTCACGTGGCTGTACCCACCCACACCCCCTGGACTGAGGGGCAACTCTGCCCAGGGCCTTTCCTGGCTCACCTTCAGGGCGCGGGTGAAGAGGTCCCRGAAGATCTTCATGGTGCTGAAGGTGTCCTCCAGGGACAGCTGCTGGGGGTCCTCACACAGGTAGTCGGCCAGCTCCAGCTTCTTCTGCTCGATGGCCTCAAACACCTTGTCCAAAGCCTGGGAGGCCGTGATGCTGTCCTGATGGCAGGGGCTGGGTCACCAYCCAGGGCTCCCAGGCTGGGCCCAAGGGTAGGGTGGGACCCCCCTGCATCAGGAGGTGGCAGCCACAGCCTCCGGGCACAGGTGTCAGCCCAGGACCGATGTGGGTGCTGTGCACCCCTGGGTGCCTGGRGCCCAGGCTCAGGGAGGCCCCTCTCTCCCAGAAATGAAGCCAGGAGCCCGAGAGGCCACCCTCCCCCGAGGACCCCTGGGCTCTGCTCTGCCCACAGCTTAGCCTCCCGGGAGCCCACCAGGCAGCCTGGCTGCCAGCCCCAGGGCCCCTCCTGCTTGCCTGGAGGCGCTGGGCATACTGCTCCTGCACCTCAGGGTCRGAGGTGGACACCTTCCGCTCCGTCCCCAGAAGCTTCTTCAGGTTGGTGCTGGCTTCGGAGCGGATAACCTCCAGGTTGATTCTGAAAGGCGTCAAAGGGTTGGGCCTGGTCAGGGGATAGCTGAGGTCCAGCCACACTACGACTGTGGGGCCCTGCCCACCCTACTGGGGCCTTAGGCTTCGTACACTCCAGGTGCCGAGACCTGGCCTGCCAGTGCCTCGTGGTGGGGACCGGAGCTCAGGGCTGAGGTCTGGCCTGGGCTGCAGGGGTCGGGCTGGGGAGAGCTGCCTACCCTGCGGCCTGGGAGGGCTGTGCCAGGTCCTGGGGCAGCTGCAGGAGGTCAGGGTGGCTCTTTTCCACTTCCTGCAATAGGATGCATCTATGAGACCCTATTTTGGCCCCCCACGTACCTGGGGATGCCCCTGCCCCAGCTCAAACTCTGAGCACTGAGGCCCAGGAAGTCCTCAGCCCTGGGGCCCTCCTGGGTCCTCTGGACCCTTCCCTGGGGCCTGGCTATGATCTTGACAGGTGTGATTTGCCTTGGGGCTGCCTCACTCCCAACAGGGGTGGGTGTCCTGGGGCGGGATGGAGGACCGTCCTGGCACGGGGACGGCAGGAGGGAGGCGTGCTGGGGAGGGGCCGTGGCGTGGCTTCAGCAGGCTGGAGGGAGTCCTGGGGAGGCTGGGGTGGGGGCTTGGGCAGGGGGCACACTCCAGCCTGCCCCTCCTGCTGGGGCCCACCTCCAGCACGTGGTGCAATAGCGTCACCCGGTTCTGCTGCGACTTGGTCTCTGTGAGCTTCAGCAAGGTGCTCATCTTGAAGCCATCAGCGTCCCCGGTGTGGCTGCCCTGGGAGGGACCGGGAGTGAGTCTCCCTGTCACTCCGGGGCCTAGAGGGCGGAGGGGTAGGTCCCTGACTTACATAGTTGAGAAAGTTCCCGATTTTCAGGATCAGTTGGCAGAAGACAGGCAGCCGGTGACTGGTGAGCAGGCCTGCGGGCAGGCAGGGCTAAAGGCGGGCACAGAGGCCCCAGGCCCCAGGTGCCCTGGCGTGGGGTCTGTTCCTCCCTCCCCACCCTCAAGCCCCTTGCCCCAGCTCAGCCCAACATGGGGAAGAACACGGGGCAGGGGCTCAGTGGGCATGAGCCCTTCACCACCAAGCTCAGAGGCTCTGGGGCAGAGGTCTTCTGGACCCTCACTACACCTGGGACAGAGGACCACCACCTGTTCTTCCACTAGGGCCACCAGRGTACTGGGAGGAACCTCTGGAACCCTCAATGCCCTCGTTCTCAGCTAAGCACCCCTCTGGGCAGCAGRGAGCCCTCCTGGCTCAGTGGCTGAGATGGGAGGGGACGTCCACTGCGCCTTGGTCATCGGGTCCCACCTGTGTCCCTGTTCTGTGGTTTGGCAGACCCCTGCCCATTCCTCACAGGTGGCAGTCTGCACGTGCACCTGTGTCTGCGTGTGTGTCTGACAAGTGTGTGCATGTGCGTGTGTGTGTGAGGTGTGTGCGTGTGTCTCACACATGTGTGCATGTGTGTGTCTGACAGGTGCATGAGTGTGTGTATGTGTGTCTGAGGTGTGTGTGTGGGTCTGACAGGTGTGTGTGTGTGCGGTATGCATCTGAGGTGTGTGCGTGTGTGTGTCTGACAGGCGTGTGCCTGTGTGTGTGTGTGTGAGGTGTGCGTATGTGTCTGAGGTGTGTGCGTGTGTCTCACACGTGTGTGCGTGTGTGTATGTGTCTGAGGTGTGTGTGCGTGTGTGTCTGACAGGTGTGTGCATGTGTGTGTATGTGTCTGAAGTGTGTGTGTGTGTGTGTGTGCATCTGACAGGTATGTGCATGCATTAGTCTGCCCTCGCTTGTGCCTGTGTGTGCAGGACACTGCGTGCACATGTGTGTCTGATGCATTTGTGTCTCTGGCGGGGGCAGCAGTGGAGACAGGGTGGTCTCTGGTGAGGTGGGGGTGGGCCCTCTGCAGCTACCACAACTCGGCCTATAGCAGGAGCCCCCGTCCCCTCCTGCTGGTAGGCCCGTCCCCAGGCTCCCCAGCCCCACTCACTCTCACAGGCGGCGAGCACCAGCTGGGCCTTGGGTCGCACCATGTCCAGCACAATGGCCGTGCCCTCACACAGCAGCATGCACTCCAACCGCAGCTGGTAGCTGTCCGGGCAGAGCAGGGGTCAGGGCTGGGGGCTCCCAAAGCCTGCCTGACTCTGCAGTGTAGGGGGCCTAAGAGTCCACTGGGCACAGAGTTCTGGATTTGATGGGCAGGGCAGAGGAGGGGTTCCACAGCCTGGACCCTTCCACATGCTCTTTAGGGCCTGCCCCAGGATGAGGTGGGGCCAGGCAGGGGCCTAGGGAAAGACCCCATTCCCCTATAGCCAGGGCAGCCTGGGCTGGAGAGGCCTTCTCAGGAAGACCCTGGTCCTYTTGGGAGCCCCAGAGGCCCCTCTTTGAGGGAATGGGTGGGGGATGTGGGGCAGGAGCGACGTTGGCAGCCAGCCAGCTGTCCAGGGCCCCTCTGCCCCAGGGCCCCTCTGCCCTCTCCCTCCCTGGGTTCTGGGCAGGCTACTCACCAAGGAATGTCCAGCAGGAGGACGTAGAACTGGTCGGCGTTGGCCAGCTTGGCTCGCTCCTCTGTRAATGTCCTCAGGTTTTCGATCTGCCAGAGGAGGCCACGAGTGGGCAGGTGTGCAYGCCAGCCCTCCTCCCCAGGAAGGCCTCCGGGGCTGCTCCCGGCCTCCACCACCTGCAGCAGTACCGCCTGGGGCGGAGAGGTGCTGGGACCCTCCCTGCCTGCCTGCTGGGGGGCGGGGCAGGGTCCCAGCTCACCTCGTGCTTCTCTGGAAGTAGTTTCAGGAGCTGTTTGAGAACCTCCACGTCAAACTTGGCCGTGTCCCCAGCCCGGATCATGGCGGTGACCTCCTCGTTGGAGCTGAAGGGGTGAGGGGAGGGGGTCACAGAGAGGGCAAGCCATCTGCTCAGGGTCACGTGATAATGAGGGTAGGGTCCAACGGCTCACTCCCTGTCAGTATCCCCCTTCCAGAGGGCTGCTTAGGAGACGGGGTGGGTGGACACAGCTCAGGGTCACCCAGTGAGCTCCTGCAGGGGCCAGTGCCTGAGCTGCAGCATGGAAGAACCTGGGCTGGGAGGCGGGACCATGTGACTGACTTGGCCACAGCTTGTCCATAACCTTGGGGGAAAGTCCTGGATGCTCTGGGCCTTTCTCCTCAAGAGCCAGGACTGGTGGCCTCTAGGGTCTCCTGCCCTGGGGAAGGAGCGTGCACTGCCCCAGAGCAGCCTGCAGAGGGCGCTGCCGGCCGGGCTGGCTGGAGAGGCTCACCACTTAAACTGCTTCAGGAAGATGTTGAGGTTCAGGCTCTTCTTGGAGTCAAGAAAAGTGACCTGGAAAACCACCACATGAATGGGTCCCAGAGGGTGACATGGGGGGACCCTGATGATCCTTGCCCCATGCCTACCTCCTTGGGCTCCTTCCTGGCTGGGGCAGCTGTGGGCTCCTTGGGCTTGGCCACGGGGAAGGAGAAGAGCCGCTCAATGCTGGAGAAGTCAGGCTCCACCGCGTCTGTGCCAGGGCTGCTGAGTGTCGCCCACATGGAGTTGCGCTCTGCAGGCGAGGGGCAGGAGAGGGGCACCACCATCAAGCTCACACCCCCTCCCAGGTCTGGGGGGCCAGGGCCAGGTGGGCCAGGCCTCTGAGGGCCGTCAAGGGTACCTTGCCTGGATGCCGTCCTAGGCCAAGCATACAGCAGGCGTTTAATAAGTGCCTGGCAAAGGAAGACCCCTGGCTGCTATTCTACTCTGTGCATGTATGTGGACATGCACTCATGTATCCACGTGGTCGGTGACCTGCCCTGTCTGGCCTGGGCCTCCTCTGAGCATCAGCACCCCAGGCCCCAGGGTGCCAGGCACAGGTTGGGCATGGGCTGTAGTACCAGAGATGCACACTGCCCACAGGACCAGAGGGACCTCAAAGGAAGCCTCTGCCCTGCTCCGGCCCTGCCCCACACCAAACCACATGAAACTGAGCCCGAGCAGGACCCAGGCTGCCCTGGCCATGCAAGAGTGGGCAAATGCAGGTGCACCACCCCTCCCCAGCACCTCTCGTGTGGCACCAGCCTTCGGGCTCCGCAGCCTCACCTCGGGCCACGTTGGATGGAAGTTTCTGCCAGTTCAGTTTCTTCATGCGCAGTGTGGGTGGGTTCACCCTGCGGTGGCTGGGGACCCAGGCCGAGCCCAGGCTGTGGTCCACGTGGGCCACAATGAGCTCTTCCACGCCACCCGCAGGCAGGGTTGGAGGTGGAGGGGGGCCCCAGCCCCCTCCAGGCGGTGGTGGGGGGAGTGGAGGAGGTGGTGGGGGCAAGATCCCACAGGAGCCAGGCAGGGGAGGTGGCAGAGGGGGTGCTGGGGGAGACATGGCCCCCAGGCCTGGCAAGGGAGGCGGGGGTGGGGGCAGTACTGGGGGAGGCGTGGTCCCCAGGTCTGGCAAGGGAGGTGGAGGGGGTACTGGGGAAGGAGTGGTCCCCAGGTCAGGCAAAGGAGGTGGAGGGGGTGCTGGGGGAGGAGACGTGGACCCTAGGCCTGGCAATGGAGGTGGAGGGGGTACTGGGGGAGACCCAGCTTCCAGGCTTGGCAGGGAAGGTGGGGGTAAAAGGGGCCCAGGGCTGGAACTGGGGAGGGGCGGTGCGGGTGGGGGTGGGGGGTGTGCTGGCTGCTGGGGGGCTGTCTCCCCACTGGTGCTCTGGAGGCCAACTGGGTGCTGGTGGGCAGGAGCTGCGGCCTGCTGCTGGCCCTCCATGCCAGCCATGGGAGCAGCAGTGTTTTGGGGGGACCTGTCCCTTGGACTCTGGCCTAGGTTGGCCTGGATGCTCTTGTGGGCCTTGTCCAGGGAGGTGGGTCGGGGCCTCCCTCTGCTGAACAGCAGACGCTCAGCCACCTCCTCCAGGGTGCATTCCTGGGCTGCAGCAGGGGAGATGTCCAGGGTTAAGAGAGAGGGCTGGGGACAGAGACAGAAGGAGGCCACCTCCCTCAGACAGAGGATGGGTTAGGGGTCAGGGTGGGCCTCCCCACATGGTCTAAGACCTGCTTCTTCCCACCAGGTTGACCCCTCTGCCTGCCTGGCTCACCCCGCTGCTCACCATCACTGGCCAGGAGCACGGCCCGGTTCACCAGGCTCTCCAGGGCCTCCCAGAGCAGCTGTCCTGAGCGGCTGGTGGGCTCCAGGTGCAGGAGGCCTTGTAGCACTGACAGCAGCTGGGCTGACACTGGAGAGCAGCTCACCTGAGCGGGGCAGGCCGACAAAGGGCAGGTCAGTGGCAGTGCCCTCCTCTGCCTGTCTGCCAAGGGCGTCCGTCCCCACTGACCCCCTTCACCTAGCTGAAGGCCTGGTGACGAGCAACTCAGAGACAGGGTTCTTTGTGTTACTGGTGACTCTGCGGACTGTTGGGTGCATTATGGGATATTAAATGGCATCCATGGTTTTCACCCATTTGATGCCAGGAGCAGGCCCTGCCTAGTAGTGACCAAGCAAAAATGTCTCCAGATGTTTCTGGGTGGTGCAGAGTCAGTGAGCTAGAGGGAGGGCCTGGGTGCTCTCAAACCCAGTCTCCTAGACTCTCAACTGGCCCTGTAGTTCCCTAAAGTCCTCTGACAGTGACCAGCGAGCCGGGGCCCAGGATGGCATGGTCAACTCAGGGCAACTCAGGGTAGCCCTGGCCCTTGGAACCGATCCTTCTGGATCTTGCAGCCCCAACCCTGTTCCCAGGCTGCCTGCTCTGGGCTCTGCCTCACCTCTGCGCCCTCATCCCTTGCTGCCCCCTGGAGTGTGACCCTCATTCTACTGTCCAGGTCACAGGAGGGTCTGACCCATGCACAGCCCAAACACACCTTGTGGAACAGGGATGCAAAGACTTCTTGGTGGCTGTTCATGTTGAGGCCATTGCACACACGCTGCAGCTCCTCCTCGTCCTCTGCCTTGGCCTCCTCAAAGGCCTCCAGCTGGATCAGCAGGTCAGCATCCTCCAGATCTCTGGGGCAAGAGAGACCAGGGCCAGCTGACCTGCTGTTCCCATCAGCCGTGCTTCCCCAGGAACGCGAGACAGGGTGGCCCAGGGCCCCGCTGCATGTCTGTTCCTGCTCTGCTGACCCGAGGACACTGGGCAAGTCTCCTGGACATCCCTGTGTCTGACATGTGGCCACGGCAGCCAGGGGTAGCAGGTTGAGAGGTGGGCTCAGGTTGGAGCCTCGCAACCTGCTGGCTGCTCACGTTCTCCTGAGGGCTAAGTGCAGGGTAGAGCCAGGACTTCCTCCGGAGGATGGGAGGGTGTGGTCAAGAGCATACCTGAGGCAGGTCCACCAGGCCTACCTGGGAGCAGGGGGTGGGGCTTCTGACCCTAGCAGGAGGGCCTGAGTGTTCACTGGGCTCAGGCATTGCCAGTCAGCTCAGCCTGGCCAATGAGCAAAGCCCTCAGCAGGCAAGGCCAGCCCCCCACCCCCACCCCCAAATTGGCCTGCCATCCACTCAGCAGACCTTTGCCCAAGGCTAGCTTGACAGAACCAGGCCCCGCTGAGTCCCTCAGGCTGGCTTCCCGGGTGGGAGTCCACCCTAAGTATAGTCCTGAGGTTGAGATGGGGGTTCTTGGCCAGGTGGGTCTGGCAGGGTAGGATTCCGAGTCAGCAACTAGAACACACTTGATTCAGAGGAGGGATGAAAGGCTGCCAGCGTGACTCCTGGGGATCCCTGGGCTCGGTCTGAACCACCCGAACGTCTCGCACTGTGTCTGGCTACTCAAGTACCGGGTGCCAGCCTGAGACCCGGCCTTGGGGCAGGCCACTGGGGCTTCTCCTGGAAGCTACCTCTGCCATCTAAGGTCTGTTAGGGCCAGGCTAGGACACCAGGGAAGGTGGGCTCAGTCTGGGGAGCAGAGGGGAGGCCAGCAGAACCAGCCACAGCAGGGACTCACCGCAGTCGGGTCAGAATGTCCAGGAGCTGCAGCCCTGGAAAGGGATGGGGGGTCAGAGGGTTCAGAGGCTGCCTCTGTCCCCCGGGTCTCCTGCCTCGTATCTGAGTCTTTTACCACCACTGCCCATTCACCCCACTGCACGCATCACCCGGCTCACAGGACATCAGGGTCCTGAGGCTCCAGAGGTGGTGACATGTTGGCTACACCATGGTACTCCTTCAGTGGTCACTGCCAGGGTGGGCAGGACTGCAATTAGGGACCAGACTACCCTTCTCCTTCTGCTGCCCAACCAGCCTCTAAACAGAGACGGATGTCCAGTTCTGAGGCCTGTGGCCACTAAAGGCACAGTGGTGGCAGGAGACTCCCCTACCCTGGGCTGGGCTGGCCCAGGGGACTCTTGGGAAGACCTGCCAGGTGCCTGGCCAGGAGGAGGGCAGTCAGGAGCCCTGGGCAGCAGAGGGTACCAGGCTGGGTGGCAGTTACCGATGAACTCGCTCCGCAGCTGGGTGCGGGTACGGAGGTCCTCGGGGCCAAGGATGACAGCGTTGACCACGCTGAGCAGGGTGACCACGTAGGGCACGTTGTCACTGTCAGAGAGCTCGTTCATGATGACACTGAAGCGGTACTGCTGGCTGCACACCGTCTGCAGGGAGGGTGGGGTCAGTGTGCTCTGGGGCGGTCCTGCGCCCAGCCACAGGCCGGCACTCACCTTGTAGTGGTCCAGGGCATCCAGGGTCAGTGCGTGGCCCTCAGGCGAGTAGATGCACAGGGCGGCCAGCAGCTCAAACACCTGCTTCTTGACCATCACATTGGATGTGTCCAGGGCTGCAGATGGGGGTGTCTCATGGGTCCCCTAACCACGCTCCCTGGCCAGCCTTGCTCAGGGCACTGCCTGCCAGGGGGAACTCCCTCCAGACCTAGCATATAGACACCAGGGGGCGCTGTGCGCTCACCCATGCCCACAGTAGGTGCTGGCACAGGGCCCTGCCTGCCAAGCTGACCCTGCCTCCCAGACCACCCGGAGAAGGGGAAGGTGACCCCAGCACTCCCAGGGTCAGATGAGGCTGGACTAGGATGGCCCCTGCCGCTGGCTCTGGGCTGTTTTCCCCGAGCTCAGTACCAGCTGTGTTCCCAGCCGACAGCCTGATGTCTCTTCCCCTGAACCTCTGCCTTCCACCCCATCTCCCGAGCTGGGAAAGGTCCGGGGGGTCTCTCCTTCGTCCTGCTGAGAACAGGCCACAGGGCTTGACAGGGGCTAGCCGGGCCCAGCCTAGAAGGGGCTGAGGTTGGTGTGGGCCTACGCTGGACAAGCGATGGGTGGCCTCTGGCTTCCTCACCACACAGGCCCCTGCTGTTCCCACTGTCCCTGGAGCCTGAGTGCCACCCTGGAGCAGCACAGCTGGGGGACAGAGGACCCAGAGACTGCCATGTGTCTCACAGAGGCCGCAATGAGCTCTGGCCACAGCCTGCGGAGACCCCTGGGGCCAGAACATAAAGCACACGCAGCTCTTGGGGCCACAAGGCAGGAAGCAGTAGGCACAAGGGGCCAAGGCCAGGCTCTGCCTGCCAGGAAGGACAAGCCCTCTAGGGCAGGAGGGGGGACAGCAGGGTGGAGAGCTGTGGAGGGTGCTGAGAGGTGGACGGCAATAGCAGGAGTGGGCTGCTATGGCTAAGGTCCACAGGCTTGGAGCCAGATGGAGCATATGTGGGGGCCACTCAGGTGGACATTGGGAGAACCAGGGCCTGAAGCCAGGGGTGGAGCCAGCACAGGGCTGACGGAGTCACAGGGCGGAGGGAGAATGGGGACAACCCGTGGGAGTGGTGGAGGGAGAGAGGCGGTCTGCAGGCCCAACTTCCTACTGCCCCAGGGCCCCAGGCCTGCCCTGTGCTTGGCAGCCAGGGGCTGCGCCCACGTCACCTGGGCAGGCCTGGCTCACCCTGGGACAGCTGGCGCACGTAGCCCTGGTTGCTGAGGATGTACTCGATGCCCTGCTGCGAGTTCATGACGGCACGCACGCAGCTGACGCAGGTGAGCTGCAGCAGGGCGTCCGCGATGCGGGCCACACCACGGCCCGACAGCCGGGCCAGCGCCTCCAGCAGCAGGTCCAGGCCGCTCTGCTCCAGGAACTGCACCATCCAGCCGCCATCGCTGCTCTCCAGGCGCTTGCGCAGGCCTGAGTAGTTGACCACGGAGGGCATCTGGAGCAGCCGGATGCAGAGCTCAGGGTCGGCACTCTCCAGGTTGGCCTCCGTGGGGTCTGAGTCCTGCGGCCCCAGCTTCTCCTTCAGCGCGGCCCACTTGCGCTGTGCTCCCTCCTTCACCGACATCTTGCCAAACTGCAGGGTCCAAGAGGGACAGGGCCGTCAGCTCAGCCAGAGGGGAGGCCAGGGCCCAGCTGTCACTCTGGCATGGGGATGCCACTTTCTGCTCCCTCAGTTTCCCCTCGTGCTTCCAGCTCAAGCCCTGCGGAGGTGGGAAGGCCTCAGCGAGGGCTCCCCTGGGCCTGCACAGGCAGCGAGTCCCCCATTCCCACGAGGACCTGAGGCTCAGAGCAGGGTCAGAGGACCTGCCGTCCCTGCAGAACTTGGATCCTGGTGGGCTGCAGTGGCCAGGCTGGCTGGAACAGCACTGGGCAGTGGCAGCGACACAACAAAGCGCCCTTTTCTTTCTGGGTGCTTCCCGGGCCGCCCACAGCTTTGGCAGCAGGGCTGGGAGGAGGGGCGGGTCCCGGGGCTCTAGTTGCCCCCAGCGGGCAGCAGCCCCCCCAGGCCGGTCTCCCCAGGCCTGGCTGCCTCTGGTGGGGGGAGGGCGCACTAGTGAGGAGCGGACGCTGGGCACATGGGGTGCACCTGGTCAGGGGCGACAGGGTGACTGCAGCCCAGACCTTTCCCCAAAGCAGAACACGGGACAGGCAAAACCACCCTGCTCTCACCTCCACCCACCCCTGGCCCTGCCTGGGTCCAGCTGGCTGTGCTGCCGTCCCCACCGCAGTCCCCAGAGACTGGCCTCAAAGGTCAGGGGCATCCCAGGCCCTCATGCAACCATGTATGGCTGGATCTTATATTTAGCCCCTGAGAACCAGAGTGTGGTGCAGGGAGTGGGAGGCAGGGTTTGGTGGAACACGGCCCCAGGGCTTCAGACCCCTCCAAAGCCCCAGGCTCTCCCCGCACCCTCCACCTGACCCCAGCTGTCCCCACTCCCGTGGCAGGCATTTACACTGGCCAGGTTTGGGTGGGGGAAACAAGGCAGCCCCTGGGAGGCAGGGTCACATGCCCACGGCCCCACAGCTGGTGACCTGGAGTCTGCTAAATGTCCAGTGCAGCCTCGCATCAAGTACTCCCTCACCCAGTAAACTAGAGGGAAGACCCCAGGCCAGAGGGACCACCCAGGAGACCATGGCCACACGGAGGAGTAAGCTGAGGGAGGCTCTGGGTCCCAGTGCCTGCCCTCACCCTGGGGCCCTGCTGGGCTTTGCCCTGGTGAGCATCTTAGGAGCACCCAGCCTGCCTAGTCCCTATCTCTTGCTTATCCACCTGCCCTGCAGGGCCCATGGGCCCCCTCTGGCAGGAACCTGGTGTGGACAGGAGGGCTGTCCTATGCATGTGGACCCAGCTCAGGCCATCAGCAGGCCTCCGCTCAGTCATTCTTATCAAAGCCTCAGTTTCCTCATCTGTGTCTTGGACATCTGCTGGCTGGAGCATCCTAGGGGCTGTGGGTGTGGACACCCCTGGCCTACAGGCAGTGAGGGGGCAGTCTGGGTGGATACCAGCCCCCACGCTCCTCAATCTAGGTCCTATGCTGGGCCTCAGAGTGGGGAGCCCGCGCCCTCCCCCAGGCCTGGCCCTCAGGCCGTCCTCCCTCCGTCTGTCCACTTACCCAAATGCGCAAAACCTTGCGGCTGCCTCTGCCCACCCATTCCTGTCTCAGGCTTCTCATCACCGTAGACCCCTAAGCTGCAGGATCCCCTCTTCAGGTGGCCTCCACCAACCTCGGCCCTCGGCCCTCCCGGGCAGCCTCAGGTTCCCAGAGCCCTCTGGGTGGCGAGGGAGCCAGGGCTCCAGAGCCAGGAGGAGCAAGACTGCCGGCCTCTGCACACCTCCCTCCACCCTGAGGAGGCTCCCAGAACTGACCCTCCCTCCCCACCCATCCTCTGCTCCATTGGCCAGAGCTGCCGTCCCCTTGGCACAGACTGGGTGGGACGGAGTGTGAACCCTCCCAGGCCAGGCCTCTGACATCCAGGGTGCCCTCTCCAGCCAGGAGCCCCAGGGACCCTTGGTGCAGGGGAACCTGATCTTCCAGAGATAGCAGTCACCTAGAACTGACCCACCAGGCTCCAGGCTGTCAGACCAAAGTTCAGGGTGCTCGGGATCCTCCCGGCCCTGGGCACCCACCATCCTCAGGACTACAGGCTCTCTCCCTATAGACCCCAACTGACAGGAGCCCTCAGCCTGTGGGGCAGCACCTGGGCAGGAGGTTGTGTCCTGGCCCCATGCCCTGTCCTGGGGCTGAGCTGCACGCTGCCCCACTTGGCCCTGTGTGGGGCAGCAGGTTGGGGCAGGGGTCTGCTGGGTGGGGTCAGCGGGGCAGGGAACTCAGCCAGACACCCAGAGGCAAGGTGAGGGCACTCCTCCCTCTGACACTGGCCAAGCTGCCAAATCTCACGGGGGACGGGCCCATTCATAGGGTCAGGCCCTGACCAGGGATGTCCTCCTGGAAACATCCCAGCTCTGCAGGATGCAGCTGGGTACACAAAGGGACCATGGTGACTGATGGACAGAACTCCCACCCACAATTTGTAGCCACCAGTCCAAAYGTCAAACAAAACCTGGCAGTAACTGGCCCCAACAGCTGGGACTTGATTAATGATTGACAGTTTCCATAATTTTTGCACCTGCTTCTAACTTGGAACCAACCAGAGGAAGGCAGACCCCTAAGCTGCAGGATCCCCTCTTCAGGTGGCCTCCACCAGCGCATCCCCGAGGCGTCCCTCTTTTCTACAGACAAATCTATAAAGCTCTCTCCCTCCCCTGCCTGGCACAAGAGGTGGCGGCTGACCCCCTACAGATGGTTCCAAATAAGCAGCCTCCACAGGCCCCCACGGGCTGCACATGGGCACCGGGGCAGGGGAATCCAGTTTACAGATGTCACGAGGCCATGTGGAACACTCGGGAAGCCTCCAGAGCTCCTCTTGGGCTTACCAGCCATGTTCCACGTTACCCTGGGCAAGTGACTCTGCCCCTCTGTTCTCCATCTGCAAAGTGAGACGCAGTGGGGTCCTCACAGAGGAACTGGGGTGGGGGCAAWGTGAGAGCTCGGGATTGCTCACGGATGTCGACACGGTCCGCACACACCTGGCCCTTCCCCTCCACCCCTACATGTCCTCAGGCTGAGAGTCAGGGTCCCAGATGGGCCTGGCACAAGCCAGAACCCAGGACTATCTTCAGCTCAGACTCCCTGGGGTGGCAGCGTGGCCTCCCCCGGGGCATAGGAATCTGCATTCCCACAGCTTCCACAGGGTCCTAGCTCTGCGGGCCCGAGCACCTAGGTTCAGCCCCTTGGAACGCTGAAGGTCAGGGCACCCAGAAAGGTCCCCTCTGCCCCCAGAGCCCCTCTCCAGTCAGTGAAACCGCAGTGAAACCGCAGTGGAAGGGCCTCAGGTGCAGTGCTTGAAGCCCTGGGGACTCCAGCTCCACACTGCTGGGGTCACTGTGGTTCTTTCCCAACAATGGTTTCCACTGGGATGGGCCAGCACAGCACAGACTGCGGATGCCAAAGGCCTGGTCTCCCTCCCTGTGAGGGCCATCCCAGATTTGAGGGCCAACCCTGCCCTCTGGAGGAGAGGTCCAAGAGGCCCCTGGGCCACCTCCCGGGTATGACTCCTGTCTGCCTCCTCTGCTTGGGCCTGGCCAATCCGGAATGGAGACGCCTGCCTGCCTCCCTCATGCCTGGCCACTGTGCTGCTCACGGAAGCCAGGCGACCACTGCCCCTGCCTGGTAGTCACCTGTCAGGCTGAGCTGGGGCATGCAGAGCAGGACCAATGCTGCCCCCAAGGTCAGACACCACTTATCCAGCCCCTGCTGAGTAGATGGAGAAACAGGGCCAGAGAGGGCGGCTGCCCAGGTGGGCACCAAGCTGTGCACAGTGGCCAGGAGGCCTGCACATTACCCTGGCCTCCAGCAGGCCACCGTGAGGATCCCGGCTCTCTGGGAGACCTGGTGAGCCCTTCAGCCTCTGGGCCTCAGCTCCCGCACCCATGCAGCAGGGAAAACCGAAGCCCTGGCTTCCAAGGAGTCAACCACAGGCTGCTGCATATGGCACAGGGCAGGGTCCCTGGGTCCCCAGCCCCACCAGGCCTGGAGATCCGAGACATGTTCTGGTCAGGCTCCCCATGAGCACGCTGGCCCTTGAGCCTGGACACTGGGGAGGTGGGTGCTGCCATCTGTGGCCCATCCCTGCAAGGACTGCCAATCCAAGGGGCTCTGGGGACCTCAATGCAGGGGGGGGCACGTGAGGCCTGGGAGGGGGGCCTGGGGTGGGGTGGCAGGTCTGAGGGGGCCTGCTGGCACCAGCGTGGGGGCTGGCATGCTTCTGGGCCTAGACCCAGCAGAGGCGTGGAGAGGGTGAAGGAGGGAGCCTGTCTTCCAGGGGTGGGCGGAGAGCATGGCAGGAGCGGGATTCCGGAACTGCAGCAGGGGCTGCCACACTGTATTTTTAGCTCCTCCAAAAGCCCAAATTTTTCCACTGCCTGGCAACCCTCAGCTCTCCATAGCTGCTCGCGTTCCTGGCAGCTCCCTGGAGTTCAGGAGCAGCCCCCAGAGCTGAGTCTGTCCTGCTGCGACCCCGTCAACTTCCCTCTTAACTATAATCTGGGCTCCCTTGAGCCTGACCCAGCAAGTATAGCACCTTCCCATCAGGCTGCAGGCCGTTGGGGACAGGGCTGCCTTGTGGGGTCACCTGCCTTGTGGGTTCGGCCCAGGTAGGAGTCCTGTGCACAGCAGGTCTCAGGAAAGGGTGGAGGAGTGTCCACCCACTGTCTGCATGTCCACGGCCGTGGATCATATAGGGCCGGAGGTGGCAGTGGCCAGGGAGCAGGCTGGGGCAGTAGGGCCCTGCGGAGCACTGAGTGTGCAGCCCAGAAAAGGGGGTCCGAGGAGGGGGCGGGCAGAAGGCACTCCTGGCAGTGTTGAATCCAAAGCCAGAATCACAGGAGCAAGAAGCCTTGGGTAGGATTTCACCCACATGCCTGTGACGTGTCCCTGGGACACCTGCTGAATGCCAACAGAAACAGTAAACAGGAAGTGCTTGCTGGGGCTCAGTGGGCGATGCCTGGCCTGGGCCCGGGCAGGAGGGTCTGGCACAGGGCTGCCTGTGCTGAGCACTGTGTGTCTGGGACTCTATTAAGGGGCTGGGGTGGCCTCAGAGTCCCCTCCTCCTGAGCTCAGCTCACTAAGCTCGCCTTAGGAGGACAGGAAGGGCGGAGGCCTCCACGCCAGGACGCTGGGCTTCCATTTCCACCTGCTCTGACATAAAGCAGGGCTAGGGTGCCCTAGACTTGCACTGTCACCAGAGGGGTCCCTCTGGGCCTCAGTCTCCCCAACTGCACAGAGTAGGGCCACTGGGTGTTTGCTTAGGGCCTGGCCCCCTCCAACATTCTGGGGGTTTTGGTATAGAGTCTGGGGCCAGAGAGAGGCGTGGGGTAATGACAAAGACGGTGGCCACCAGTCAGGGACTCTTGGAGTCCAAGGTCCTCACCCTCAGCAGCRCCTTCTGTGCTGGGCCCCACCAGCAATGTGGAGTGCAGGGGTGTGGTTCTTGGGCTCAGATGAGGAAGCCAAGGGACTTGCCAGGCCCTGCAGGCGGCAGTGCTGGGATGACCTTGGGCTGATGTGCCACAGGCCTGTCCACCTACAGGAGCTGAATGGGGGATGGGGCAGGCAGCCTGAAGGTCCTGCCTCATCCCAGGATGCCTGCGGGGTCCTCTCCCCAAGACTGGTCACTTGTCCCTCCCGATCTCCCCGATGCTCCCCAGGGAGGGATGGCCGGCTTCAGGACTCGGGTTCTGACTGCTGAGTGCTCCTCTGGGCCTCGCGATGTCCGGTCCTGAGCCTGCGCTCCACAAGCCCCCCCAGGTATCCCAGAACCAGGCCACCCCCCAGGAGCAGGGAGAACAAAGGCAGCCTGGGAGCGGGAGGGGCCCGGCCTGCAGCCCCCAGCATGAGGGCAGCTGCCAGGGAAGGCACTCAGCTCCGATTCCAGGCACAAAGGGGCCTGCAGCTGGGCACAGGTGCCTTGGACGGCCCACTGGACTCCCGTTCCCGTCTTCCACACGTAGGAGCATGTCAAAGCCACTCCTGGACTGGAGTGCAGCAAAGGGCCATGCTCTGACTGCCCACACCCAAAGACCTGGCCAGCTCGACAACCAGGAGTCAGCTGGGACAGTGCTTTCGTCTCCCAGGCTCCTGCCCCTCCACAGCCAGCACCAGGGGACCTGTCGGAACTGACTGGGTGAGATCCTTGGCATGGGTGTGGCATGCCTGTTGACATCCTGGGGAAGTGCCAGGGCCCTCAGGAAAGCCAGCTGATTCTGTACTCAGTTTTCTCATCTGTAAAATGGGCAGGGTGTTCTCCAGGGGCCTGTGGCTCCTGTCCTCAGCTGGCTCGGCCAGCACTGCCCGCAGTGCCCACCCCTCACCCCTCAGAGGCAACTTCCTGGGCCCAGCAGCCCCTGCTCTCCTGCCTGGGCCCTTTGAGCTTGGGGTCCCCCAGGAATCTTGCTCTCAAGCCACTCACATCTGTGCACACAGGAGGCAGACAGGCGGGGACAGGCAGCGCCTGGGCCAGTGAAGAGCAGCCTGCCCCCTGCTGCTGGGCGCAGGCGGCAGTGCCAAGCTGTACTTGGAGCAGAACGGGGACAACAGGCACGTGGAAGGTGGGGGAGGCAGGCTGCACGCGGAGGCCACAGCCCAGGGCCAGGCACAGATGGGGAGACTGAGGCCATGAAGATGTTCTCATGCAGCTGGAGGCTGACTTCCAGGCCATGTCCAGCACTGGACAAGGAC